AATGTTTAGGGGGCTGGAGAGATGGCCCAATGATTTAAGAGTACTGGCTGTTCTTCTAGAGGACCCAGGTTCAATTCCCAGCACCCACATGACAGCTCACAACTGTCTATAACTCCAAGATATGACACCCTCACACAGACATACATGAAGGCAAAACATAAACTAAAAATAAATAAAATTAGATAAATGTAATTTTAAAAAATTAAAAGTGTTTAAGCTGGGGGCGGGGAGCCCTGGGCATGGGAACAGCAAGCGTGAGTGTTGACAGTACGCTGCCCTGCCAGTCTCAAGATTGCGTAGTCTCGAGCAGATCACTTTAGCCTTTCCTTCCTTTTGTGAAAACAGTGCATGAGTCAGGGTTCTCCCACAAAGCAGAACCAGTGGCAGACAGAAAGGGACTGACAGACTGACTTTAAAGAATTGGCTCAGCAACTGCGGAATTAGCCAAGTCCAAAGCCTGAGGGTTAGGGTCAGCAGGCCGGAGACCAGCAGATCCAGTATCTCAGTTCAAGGTGACGGCTGTGCGGTGCTCGGTTCCCTCTTGCTAAGGAGAGGAATCTTCTGTTCTAACCACCTGACCTTCAGCTTTTGGATGAGGCTTATCCATACCACAGAGAGCAATCTGATTTACTCAAAATCTACCAACCTCATTTTTGTTTCAAGCTGGGGTTGAACCCAGGATTTTCCTCTCTCTCTCTCTCTCTCTCTCTCTCTCTCTCTCTCTCTCTCTCTCTCTCTCTCTCTCTCTCTCTCTCTGTGTGTGTGTGTGTGTGTGTGTGTGCGCGCGTGCGTGTGGATGTATGGTGTATGTGGATCAGAAGTCGATCATTCCTAGTAACACAGAAATTCAAGACCAGCCTGGATATATGAGGCAGTGCCCCCAAAATACAACAGGGGCTGGAAAAAATGGCACAGCTCAGGTTAACAGCACTTGTTGCTCTTGCAGACGACCTGGGTTAGGTTCCCAGCACCCTTGTGGTGGTTCACAAACATCCGCAGCTCCAGTTCCAGGGGATTCAATGTCCTCTTATGACCTCTGCAGGCACCAAGCACACACTCACAGGCAGACATACAAATTAAATTAAACAGCAGCAACAACAGAATCAAGAAGCACCCCTTTCCCACTCTCACCCTGGCCTGGGGCACAGTCCAGAAACAGGGCAGGAGGGTGGTCTCCTGCAATCCTGACTCCCACTTACAGTCCAGAAACAGGGCAGGAGGGTGGTCTCCTGCAAACCCTGACTCCCACTTAGCTCGCTCTATATCCTCACAGAGGCATACACACACACCGCAGCCCCAGAAACCCCTTGAAATAGCTTGAGTCAGTGCTCAAGGCAACTCTACCCAGACAGACAGAATACAGCTTTTCTCCACAGGATCTGGCCGGTATCCCTGGTCCCCAGGTCCCCTGAGTACACAGAGGAGCCTCCCCTTGCACCGGAGACCTCCCCTGCCTTGCTTCTCCAGCTTTTTCAAGGTGTGAGAAGTTCTAAGGGAACCTCCAGGCTTCCTCCTCACAGGTTAGGAAAACCATTTGGTTTAGATTTTATAGCTTCCAGGGGCCTCCAATGAAAATTTCTGGGTTTATCTCCCAATGTAACTAAAGCCACAGTCACTCTAGTAAAACAGAAAGAAGGGATTTGCCATAAAATGGATTGAACTTTTGTTTCTGAGTTTGCATATACACAAAACACAGAATAGCACAATGAATCCAGTGTGCCCATTACCACAGACTTGAAGGCATAAAATAGGATCTTAGTTTCTATCATGAGAATTTCTATAAATCCTATAGCGATTGAATTGTGTCAAGGACTGTTCATTTTGATCTGGGGACATGGCTCAGTGGAAAAGCCGCTTGTGTAAGGACAGGAGTTCAAATCACTAAAACCCATTTAAAAGCTAGGCAGACATGGCAACGTCCTGCAGTTCCAGCTCCCAGGATGAGGGGACAGGGGATTCCCAGGGCGAGCTGGCTAGCTTGACTTGCCAATCTGTGGATTCCAGTTTCAGCGAGAGACTCTGCCTCTGGAAATAAGAAGGAAGAGACTGAGGAAGACACTTTGGGCCTCCAACCTTGCATGCACACCCATCTACCCACATACTTGTGAACACGCATGCACGTGTGCACACCACACACGAGCCATACGTGAAAGAAAAGTATTCATTTGTTAAGTAGAGACGTGCCTGGTTTTTCCAGCTGTAGCTGAAACCTCTATAGATATAGGGACCTGGATCTCTCTCCAACTGGCAAAGATCTGAATCCCAGGGAGGAGCTGCTGAGACCTGCGGGCCGCAATTCCCACCCTGCCCAGGCCCAGTGCTGAAGAGGCTAGCTGGGCGTGGCTGCCCCTGGAAGCCCAAGGGAAAGCTTTGAAGTCTACACTGCCAGTAGCTGGCCTAGAGCTATACTATAGATATAGAGAACACCTAACTCTATGGCCAATTAGGAGCTTCTCCCTGCCTCGGCAGGAACTCAACCAAATAGCATTTATGGTACAAGTTTTATATGTCCAAGTGGCTCTCAGCCCTGGAAGGGGTGGATTGGGGAGCGGGATCCTGGGTCTGGCTCTTGAGCCCCCAGAAACTTCCATTTCTCTTACAGGGAGGCAAGGAAATGTACCTAACGGGAACAATTCGGTAGCTGGACTATCTGCCTTGGGGCTCTGACCATTGTTTGCTTTGGAGGCAGCGGTATTTGTAACCTAAATCAAGGGCTGCACAGATTAGACAATGCTGGAATCCCCCAAAGAAGACAGGGCTGCCAGCTTCCCGTTCCTCCAGGGTTCCCACGGGCCTGCCACCCGATGACTTCACAAAGAACTTCGGGGCACGCTCTTCACGGGACGCCTTCCCGTGCGCATTTGTCTCCGTGCCTCTCTCGGCACCTCGGTCTCCATGGGTCTCTGGCCCTCTCTTGTTTCCCAACATCCTTCCAGAGGCCCTGGGGAGCCGAGCTGTGGAGGCAGGGGCCAGTGGGAACAGGACAGTGTCCGGTTCTCACCAAGGACAATAAGGGGCGGAAAGGGCTGGAGCCAAGGCCGGCGCAGACTGGCCCTCCCCCTGCCGGGGCGCCCCCAGGGCCCGCCCTGTCCCTCTGGTGTGCCCTAAATGCCAGGCGCTGCTCATGCGGGTGCTGTCCCCGTGGGAGGCCAGCCCGGCCCACTGGCCTCAGTCTCAATGTGGCCTGCCTTCTCGGAGGGTGGTATCACCTTTGACTCCGAGAGCACCTCAGGTCAGGGGCCAGAAGCCTCCCGCCAGGCCACACTGACTCCGCCCACGTATTATTTACTCCCGTTTCCGGAGCTGGGCGCCGGCGGGTGTCACCGCCACGTGTGAGCGAGCAGGAGGAAGCATCTGCTCCCTCTGTCCTCCAGGGGCTGCCCCCCTCTCCCTCAGGTCTCCTGGCTCGGGTGCAGTCCCGGGTCCCTTTGCCCCTTTCACCTTCAGGCCTTGGGAGCCACCATGTCCTCAGGCCCCTTTTCCTAATGACGGTGATGAGGGGCTGGATATCCCCGCCAGGGCTAATTGGCAGGTCAGCCGTGCTCAGCCTGCAACTAGACACCACAGATAGGCTGAGTATAAAGCTGCTGTTGGCGCCGACCTGCCTTGTAAACGCGCCCATTCCTGGGGAATGGGTCAGTATCCCCGAGGCGCAGACCGCCCGGGTCCTACGCAGCAGGTGTCTGGATCCCTCAGCACCGCTGAGACGCCTGCTCTCTGGTCTTCCCGCCCCCCTAGCCAGAGCAGAGATGCTGTCTGCCTGGCCTCACCCCAGGGCTGTGTGCGCCCTACACACCGCTCCCACTCCAGGAAAGGAGAAAGCCCAAGTCTGAAAGCACCATCTAGAACCATCCAGCTTCCCGTAGACCCTGCTTTGGACACCCCCACTTTCTTCCCCAGAGGGCCCTACTCATCATATCCCTCTTAGTTCCCTGCAGCCTCACCAGGTGAGCCTGGAGCCTGGAACCCCACCCTCAGGAAGACTGTGGTCTCCGCTGAAACTCTGCCCCAATCCCAGCCCCAGGACGGGGAGAGAGAATTCTGCCCTCCCAGGAAGGATCGTGGACCCTTGGCTTCCCTAGGTTGGCTTTCAAAGAACTAGAGCACCCCCTAGCGGTCCCTTAGGGACACTCTGCAGGGAGCAGCCTGCCTAAGTGCGTAGGACAGATGAGCTCACAGCGCCCTCTGCAGGCAAATTGTGTAAACTGTGCAGCACTCCCTTGAGGCCAGGGACAGAAGGAAACCTAGGGTATGGCATAGGGTGGGGTGGTCTCTCACCCTCCCTGGAAACCTCTTTGACTCTTCTATTCATCTTTACCAGTCTTTATTCCCCAACCTTTAGGTGCCTCCAAAGAATAGAATTTTGTTTTAGAAAGGTCGAAGGGTAAGTTCTTTCATTCAACCAACCTACTTTCCATTGTCAGGCGCTACTGAGCACACAAGTGACCAGGTGTTCCCCAAGCCTACTGCATCCCCAGGAGGGGTCCTGGTGTTCTGACGACAAGCTCTCTGGCTAGAGCTGCTTCTCATGATAGCACAGGACAGGGTCCGGGGGCCCCTTGCCTCAGTTCCATGAAGACTGGCTGAGGTGGGTGCTCTCAATGCTTTCATATACTCTGGGAAAACCCATGAATTTCCCAATGTCTTGGACACAAGACAAAGGGGGAAACTAAATCAGAGCAAAGAGCTAGTGATTGGCCTGGGGGCCCTGCAACAGCCCCAAGTTAAGGGTTCCACTTCCACTGGAAGATCTTTCTGGCTTTAAACAACAGAAAACACCTGTCACTTCCCTTCCCTTCAGCCTCTAGGCATGTACGCATGTGCACACAGGTGTGTACGCACGCACGTGCACACACACACACAACCAACACTAAAAACGTCTACTCTGGTTCTGAAAGACAATGGCGCTCTCGTAAGCAGAAGCAGTGGACACTGCAGAGCCTGCCAAGCTCACACGTCGGCAGATGAGGTCTACAAATTATCAGAGCCACAGACCCAACTACAAAGAATCAACTTTATTAGTCACCAGGATTAGTTTCTCTTCTTGCCCTTGCCAGTGGCTTTGGCGGGTGTGAGCACGGGGGCTGTCGCCTGGTACAGGGTGGAGGATATCTTGTTGATGTAGTACAGACCAACCATGGAGAAGATGAAGCTACAGGACAAAAGAAGTCATTACATCAGCGGCGCAGACACTAGCTTCAGGGGAAGAACTCAGGTTTGGGTTTGGGGAGTCAGGGAAGAAGAAGAGAGGAAACAGAGGAAAAGGTTTATGGGAGGAAGGGAAGGAGCTAGCAACATCACAGGGGGATCTGGTACCAAAGGACAAGGCATCGTTGCACCCCTTGCCCAACTGAGAGACAGAGATACATACCAGGTGGTGACACAGACGCGGTGGATGAGGCCGGACGCAAAGAGGGCCAACAGCAAGCAGAGGAGGACTGGGGAGGCAAAACAGGAGGGTCAGTACAGAAATATAGACATAGAGAGCCTTTTTGAGGAAGCTGCCTGAAAAGGTATGTCCTGGTGGCGCACGCCTTTAACCCCAGCACTAGGGAGCCAGAGGCAGGTGAGTTCCAGACCAGTCTGGTCTACACAGAGTAACCCTGTCTCAAAAAAACAAAAAACAAAAACAAGAAAAGAGATGCCCTGTTAAAAGCCGAGAGTTCAGACAGCCTTAACATCGCTCAGAACAGGAAGGTAAGGATGGAGATTTGTTTGGTTTTTATTTTACTAGTTTTGCTCCACATTCCATTTAACTTCCTGCCCCCCCCAAAAAACACAAACAACCCAAAAGCCCTCGAAAGAGAAAGCTGAATGCAGTGGTATATATAGCTGAGGCAGAGGGTTCACTTCAACCCAGTGATTCAAGACAAGACCAGCCTGCAAACACAGTGAGATCCTTTCTCAAAAGTAATTAATAAATAAAACCAAATGTACTAGCAGGGCTTGGAGAGCAAGGCGTGTTCCTGTGATTTAGGAAGACGACTAAGGCCTGACAGGACAGGAGATAGGGCAGACAGGGCATAGGGGCTCACTTGTCCAGACACCAGAGGCAGCAAGGAAAGACAAGGATTTTGTCCCCCAGCAATGGTTTCTTTCAGAAAATAACAAAGACCATAAACATGGAATGAAGTTTAAGAGACAGACGTTCTGAGAGTGCTGGTGAAAGTTCTGGAACCCTGTAACAGGGCTGTGAAGACAGCAAAACCCAGGTGCCGGCAAGGAAATCTGGACGGACAATGACAGGTTTTGGTGACAGGTTTTGGTGTTACCAGGTGAGGTTTTCACAAGACTACCACTTCTGTGAGTTTCTGAGCATGTGGCTTTCCTCCCGTGATGTGGTCCTGATGCTGAGTTTGCTTTGTGAACTTAATAACTCCATGAATAATGAAACCATCGGATCTCTATAGGAACCATCTAACAAGGATCGTCAAAAACTGGTCCATGAGGGCTGGAGATGTGGGTAGAGAGAGGGCTTACCTATCATGCTCAAAGCCCCACGTTCCATACCCAGCTCCACATAAACTACATGAGGTGGTGCTAATTCCAGCGCTTGGAAGCTGGAGGCAGGGTTAGCAGTTCAAGAGTTCAAAGTCATCCTCAGCTACATAGCAAGTTCAAGGCCAGTCTGAGCCACAGAGGGGAGGAGGAAAGAGGAAGAGACAAGGAGGATCTAACAGTAATCACTACTCTCCTTTGGCCAGGAGTCCTGCTGTCAGTAACATCCCAGTGAGTGGATACTTCACAGTCCCCTCAAGAGAACGCTAGAGCAGGCTCAGTTTCACATCGGAATCCCTCGGTGGACTTGTCTTGCCTTCGTTTCTCACAGGGACAAAGGGCACCTTCCTGAGGATGCCTACCAAACATCACCTCGAGCTGAACTGTTTGCTTGAAACCTTTCCTGGGAACAGGCCACATTTCCCTTTTTCTTTCTCCTTTTCCTTTCTTTTTTCTTTTCTTTCTTTTTTTTTTTTGTGCTTCTCTGCCAGCACCAGTGCCAGGAGCTGGACAAAATGCTTGATCTAAAGGCATCCTCTGTCTTCAAGACAGTTTTAGCAAGTGTATTTCTCCTTTACCATATATGCACAGGGAAATTCAGCAGCATGTTTGGGGGAGTTAAAAAGAGTTCAATCAACTACCGCGTTTCACTTACTCTCAGGGAAGATCTTTGCTTGGAAACCTTTACCAAAGACCAGATTCTCGAGATTATTGAAGGCCTGGGTTGAGGGAATTAAGGAGAAACTCCTGCGACAGACAGGGCTGGGCAGTAGGAGGCAATCAACGTCCAGGGCTGGGGAGTAGGAGAAACACGTCCGTTCGACACCCCCCCGCCCTTTTCCAGCCTGGGGAGGATACAGTCAGGGAGAAGACGAAAAGGCCGGAGCCCAGCAGGCCCCCCTGAATAGTGAGCCACTCGGTGGAGGCCAGCTGGCGGCTGTATATCTGCATGCCAGCGAAGAGCAGCAGGGACAGGAGGGAGGACAGCGCCAAGGAGGTTCCGGTACCGACCACTGGAGATGAGAAAAAGAGTCAGGCTAGGCTTCAGGCAGACTCGCTCCGGGGTTCGGCCTGCCAACCCCTTCCTAGCGCTCCGGGGCCACACCTGCCCCACCCCCACCGCACGGCGACCTCCAGGAACCCCCGGCCCCGCACACCAAGTTCCCGCCTGTCCCCAGGAAATGCTGGCTCCCTGGAAACCGGGACACGTCAGCTTTACCGAGGCTACCGGGAAAAGAGGGCCACCCCAGCGCCCACCCCCGCCGGGGCATCCCGGGCATCCCGCCGGTTCGGTTACCCATCACGCCCCGCCCGTGGGTCCAATCTGAGCCTCGGCGGAGAAGGAGGGGAGCCGAAGCCGGCGCGGGTGTCTGTACGCAGGCGTCGGGGCCCAGCGCGGACTTGCTTTACTTCTTCCTCTAGGAGCCTGGGCCGCAGCGCCCTCTTGCGGCAGGGAGGAAATAACGCTTCGAAGCGCATTCTAGACCACCGCCCTGCTCGGTCTCCTGCATCGCTGCCTCTCAGGACGCGCGGCACTCACGGCTCTCAGTCATGACCCCACGGCCTAGAGTCACCTATGTCTTCTGTGCTATTTATGTCACCTCTAGTACAAGTTCCTCAGACCTCCTGCCCCACTCTGACTGCCTCAACAGCTCCCGGAGACATGCCCCACCCAAAATGTAGCGCTCTCAACCAGGAGTTCATCTTCCTCTGAGAGCAGCCTCTCGCTTTATGTGAGTAGCATGACTAGGGATCAATGAAGGATTCTAAAAGACGAAGTGGTTCCTCTCTCAAATATCCTTCCATGGCATCCACCCCCTAGACCGCTTTTGGAGAGCCACGTGGGAAGAACTGTTTCCCAGCCCCTACCTCGACGGGCGCAGTTCGAGGCAGGTCCCTGGAGCATGCGCAGTGGTGTCTCACTCTCCCCACCCCTCCCTACACCCCACCCGGCTCCTGCATCGAGCCCCGGGTTCGCAGCAGCAGCCAGGCTCGGGCACCCGGGGGCGGGCGGGCACAGTAGGGCCATGGCTGAGGGTGAGGATATGCAGACCTTCACTTCCATCATGGATGCACTAGTCCGCATCAGTGTGAGTTAAGGTGGGGTCGAGGGGAAGGGAGGGGTGTAGAGGGGTCGGGGCAGGCCAGATCCTTGAACAGGTGGGGGTCCAGGAAGAGTCTGGAATGCAGAGCAGGGGCTAGGTAAGACAGAAATGCCGGGAAGGGCGGAGAGGCAGGTGTGCAGGGATCCTGGGGACAGCCGAGTGATGAGTGCCCGAAAGATTCCGGTCCGCCGGGTGTAGCCAGCGGGTAGGGTTGGGGCAGCCAAGTGCACCCGGGTTATGAGAAGGGGCATGTGTGAGCTTGGATGATTCCCAAGACAAGCCGTGGGGGGGTGATGAAAAAGCTGTCCCTAGGTGCAGTTCCCAATTTGGACCCCTCCCGACCCCCCACCCTACCACCCCCACCCCCTGCGAGCTGCCGTGCAGCCTGAGGTTGCCATGGCAACCCGTGCCCGTCTCTCCCAGAGGCGGTGCCAACCCTGCTCCCCCCCACCACTTCCTTCCCCCTCCCTCCCTGTCCCTCCCTCCTTTGTGTCAGCTGCGCCCCTGACCGGGATGGCTGCGAAGAGAGGGACCAAGGTGAGGTGTGGGGGTGGGGAATAGCCTGAAGACCCCTCACCAAAGGGGGGAGGGATACTTCCGGTGGGGAGGGGGCAAGTAGGCGGGGCGCCTCCCCCTCCCCCCCAGACTGGGCAAAGGGTTGCAGCAGGCCGAGTTTTTCCACCAGACTGGGCCGGAGAGCTCGAGCATAGGAGGCGAAGACGAATGGCTTGATTTGGGGAGACTGGAAGAAATAGAAGTGGGGAATGGAGGATGGGAGCTGGGGCGGCCACGGGCCGGTGCCCAGCCGGTTCTGGGAGCTGAGCTAGCGCACCCTGGCCGCGGGGAGCAGCCATGCGCCTGTGGGTTGCTAGAAAAAGGGGCAGGGGACAGCACCCAGATGGAGAATGGGTGGTGCCCTTGAAATAAATTCCAGGAGCAGGCCGGCAACCCAGAGATGGAGGGGTGGAGACTGGTGAGGAGGGAGGACTGTCTGCCAGCTCCCCTGCATCGGTAGCGGTGGGGGTGGGGCGTGATGCTGGGGGAGGCCAGAGCTCCAACCATGCCTTGCTTTAAGCTCTCCAAGGGGGAAACAGGAGCAGGACAAGGCTAGGAAGGTGTGTGAACCAACCAAGGCAGGTGGACTGGGCCAAAGCGATAGGTAGCGTGTGCTCCCCTTCCTGGCGGCCAAGGGAGCGGCTGAGGTGTGCCCAAGTGTCCGAGCTCTCAAACAAGCTCCTGGTCCTCCACAGACAAGCATGAAGAACATGGAGAAGGAGCTGCTGTGTCCGGTGTGCCAGGAGATGTACACGCAGCCGCTGGTGCTGCCTTGTGCCCACAACGTGTGCCAGACCTGTGCGCGAGAGGTTCTGGGCCAGCAGGGGTACATAGGCCATGGTGGGGACCCCAGTTCGGAGCCCACTTCTCCGGCTTCCACCCCTTCCACCCGCAGCCCCCGCCTCTCTCGGAGAACTCTCCCCAAGCCAGATCGCTTGGACCGGCTCCTTAAGTCAGGTGGGCATGGGGTTTGCGGGACGGGGTGGGGATGCAGGAAGATGGATGAGGGCCAGGGGCATCTGTCTGTCATTCTGGGGTGGAACTACTTACTGTTCATCTGGATTCTAATGAGAACTGAGCTCTGATGTCACCCACCCCCAGGCAGCTGTAATTCTCATCTCTACTTCCTGGGTCCTTCCACAGGCTTTGGGACATACCCTGGGCGGAAGCGGGGTGCCTTGCACCCTCAGACCATCATATTCCCGTGCCCAGCCTGCCAGGGCGATGTGGAGTTGGGGGAGCGGGGCCTTTCTGGGCTTTTCCGGAACCTGACCCTAGAGCGCGTTGTGGAGCGGTACCGACAGAGTGTGAGTGTGGGGGGCTCCATCCGGTGCCAGCTGTGCAAGCCCCCACCACTAGAGGCCACGAAGGGCTGCACGGAGTGCCGAGCTACCTTCTGCAACGAATGCTTCAAACTCTTCCACCCCTGGGGCACTCAGAAGGCCCAGCATGAGCCCACTCTGCCCACCCTCTCATTCCGCCCCAAGGTGAGCCAGTTCTGAAGTGGGAGGGGTGTTGTGGTGCTGAACCAGCGGCGGCATTCGGGCTTCCAAAGGGTGGGGGGCCAGGTTGAGTTTTTGTCTGTGTGTGTGTGTGTGTGTGTGAATGTATAACTGTGTGTGTGTGCACAAGTGTTGGCACGTGTGTGAAAGAGAAAGAGACAGAGTCTTAGAGCCGGAACTCTGTGATTGAGAGCTCTTACAGAGAATCCCAGTTTGCTTCCCTGAAATTCCAGCTCCAGGGGTAACACCTCTGGCCTGGGCACCCGCACTCATATGCATATTTCTACACACACACACTTCAAAATAAAATATTAAGGAAAAAAGACAGAGCCTTGCCACATAGCCCACACTAGCCTTGAACTCATAGCAAGCCCCTTGCCTCAGTTTCCTGAGTTCTAGAATTACAGACATGCATCATCACATCCGGGTATCTCTCAGCCCCTGTCTCTAACATTCACTGAACAAATGGTTCAGTATCTATGGGTCTCTCATCTCATCTGCTACACAGAGATGAGAGAATCTACTCTACAATAGCTACACCCAAAGGGCTGTTGATAGGATCACAGGAGATGTCTGCTGCCTTAAAAAGTGCTATCTGGCCAAGCATGATGGCACATGCCTGCATTCTCAGTACCGAAAGGTTGACTCAAGAGACTTGGAAGTTGAAGGCCAGCCTGCAAATTGGGTTCCAGGCAATCCAGGACTGTTACACAGAGAAAGCCTGTCTCAAAAAAACAACAAAAAGTTGTTTATATGCAGGATGCTGCTATTCTAGAAATTGGATACAATGGTGAACAAAGATGAACTGCAGGGTTATATTAATTATCATCATTATTGTTGTTACCACTACATACATATCTGGGTGAAGCAGATGCAGGGAGAGGCAATGCTAGAGAAATGGACATTGCTTGGCCAGTTCGGAAATGCTTTAATGCCAGTGCTCACCATCAGATGGCACTATGGAGCCCTCTCTCCAGCAGTCAATGGCTGGTAGGTCAGCACCCTTCCACACACCACGGGCTGACTGTTTCACTGTCCTTTGTACCTCTAGGGTCTGATGTGTCCAGACCACAAGGAAGAGGTGACCCACTACTGTAAGACATGCCAACGGCTGGTGTGCCAACTCTGCAGAGTACGGCGCACCCACAGTGGGCACAAGATCACGCCAGTGCTCAGTGCCTACCAGGCCCTCAAGGTAAAGCCCCAGTGCCAACACACGCCGGCACGCGCCTGATCACTTGCCTCTGCAGAGCCAGGATGATGCCCACCTCTTTCTTTGCCCTTAGGATAAGCTGACAAAGAGCCTGGCATACATCTTGGGAAACCAGGACACGGTACAGACCCAGATCTGTGAGCTGGAAGAGACCATCAGGCACACTGAGGTGAGGACGGGCGTGGATGTGCGCCGTGGGTCCTGCTTGGATGCGCATGCCTCATTGCCTCGCGGCCGGGCAGAGCCCACAGGAGGAGGATGTGTGTGGGTGGAGGCTCTGTTTAAACTTCATAGGCAAGAACACCAGGACCCGGCTTAGGCTGTAGCTAGGGCTGCAGTGGGGGCAGGCGGGCTGCAGGGGGCACTAAGGAGCGCAGCTGCCTGTAGGCTCAGCTTGGTACGACACCACCCTGGAGCTGGGGTGAGGCGCAGTTCCTGCGAGGCTGTCTGAGTGAACTGAGGTGGGAATGGGTGACAACAGTGGCGTAGCCACCATAGGCAGTGCGATCCAAAAGCGGACATTAGAGCAATCGTGACCTCTCTTATTTGGGTGAGACACTAAGAGATTAAGGGCTAAGGCAAAATATGACCAGTTAGTGCAATGGTGACTTAAGGTTGAATCACTTGAGAGCTCTAGGCTCAGAAAGGGCTATCTGCTGCATTCTCTGACACGCAGCAAGAAGGCCCTCCTTCACACACTAAGGTCAAACAGTCTTGTTTCCCAGACACTGGTATTGGGGCTGCAATGTGACCACATAGCCGGCTATTGAGAATGTTCTTTCCAGTAGCTTTTAGCCCCCGCATCGGTCTCTCGGCAGCATGGCTAAGCCCTTGTGTCCGCTTGTAGCATCATTTCTTCACGAGTGCATTGCTCAGGGACCGACAGCGATGCCCGGTGGCAGAGCATGGGCGTCTCCGTCACAAAGGGCAAAGAGGGCGCAGAGATGGCCCAGCCCGGCGGTCAGGAACACGTCCCGCTCTTGCAGAGGACCCAGATGCAGTTCTCAGCTCCCACACGGCAGCTCATGACCACCTAGAACTCCAGGCCCAGGAGGTCTGATACCTTCGGGCCTCATGGGCTTCTGTACACTCACGGTGCACAAAAACTCACACAGGCACACACCAATGAACAAAATATTTTTTAATAAAAAATATGTTGAAAGACTAGGTATATCTGCTGCAATAATACATGATCAAGGCACAGTAAAAAAAAAAAAACATAAAACTGAGGCCGGGCGTTGGTGGCGCACGCCTTTAATCCCAGCACTCAGGAGGCAGAGGCAGGCGGATCTCTGTGAGTTCGAGGCTGGGCTGGACCGACAGCCTCCAAAACAATACAGAGAAACCCTGTCTCATAAAACCAAAAAAAAAAAAACAAAAAACATAAAACTGACATAATTAAGTTAAAATGTAAC